CCTCCAATTTTACAGACAAAAAATAAAACATGCACACAAACAAAAACCAAGAAAACCCCTAAAATAACTATGAATGATTTCAGGGCAAAAACTGGGGAATCTTTCTTTTTCTCACCTTAGTCACTTCCCATTATTATTATTTTGTATTACTTCACTTTTTCTGTCTCATTACTATTAATAACCATGTAATTTGTTTGATATGCCAAAATACTCAACCATTGATTCTGTTTTCATATGAAAAATTAATTATGATGTTAAAAGTATAATTTGAAAAGATACCAATAAATGTATTACAATGGCTGGGCACAGTGGCTCACATCTGTAATCCCAGCACTTTGGGAGGCGGGTGGATCACCTGAGATCAGGAGTTCGAGACTAGCCTGGCCAACATGGAGAAACCCCGTCTCTACTAAGACTACAAAAATTAATTGGGTGTGGCAGCAGGCACCTGTAATCCCAGCTACTCGGGAGGCTGAGGCAGGAGAATCTCTTGAACTTGGAAGGCTGAGAAAGGAGAATCACTTGAACCTGGGAGGCAGAGGTTGCAGTGAGCCAAGATGGCGCCACTACACTCCAGCCTGGACGACAGAGGAAGACTCTCTCTCTCTCTCTCAAAAAAAAATGTATTACACTAAAAGATGTTGATTTGAACATCAATAATGACAAACACTCTTTTGACCCATTTCATTTCCTCTTCAAATGCCTGAGTAAAAATAGCAGAAAATGTAACAAACTAATTTCTGACCACTAGGTGGGGAAACAATACAATTTAAAATACAATATAACTGCTCTTAACTACTTTATTTTCAAAGTTATTTAGGATTTCTGATTCTCGCCTGTCTCAAGTCTTTTACACTCATAAGACATCCTGGCCTGAATGATATAATTTCAAGTTACTTCTGGGAACAGCTTTAGAAGTAGGCAGACCAGGCTGCAGATGTTAATGTCTACCCTGTCTTCTGAAATTCCTTCCTTGATCCCAATGAGAGATTCCAGCCTATACCTTGGCAGAACCGTAAAGCTCAGGGAAGCCATTCTTCCCCTCTGCTCTAATGCTGGGCTCCTGCAATTCTCCCCTCTCCCTACCCTGATCCTTTTTCCCTCTCAACTGGATCTTTCCCATCAGCTTACAGACATGCTGCTATTTCCGTCTTTAAAAAGGCTTTTGATCTCATTTCTCCCTTCAGTTACAGTCCCATTTCTTTGCTTTCCCTTTCTTTGTAAAGGAGTTGTTTATATTTGCTCTGTGCAATTCCTCTCCTTTCATTCTCTTTCAAAGCCGTTTCAATCAGGCTTGTTTCCCCACCACTCCTGACAACTTCCCCTGCACTGACCTCCACAGTCCTCACTTTCTGGTCTCCACCAGCACCTGATACAGTTGCTCACTGACTTCTCCTTGGATGCTTCCTTTCCTGGGCTTCCAGGACTCCGGCTTTATTGGTTACTCCTTTTATTCTCTTTTGCCCCTTCTCCTCTCCTAGGCCTCAGAGAGTTACAGTACCCCAGAGCTCAGTTCTCTTCTTCTCTGTTTACACTCCCTTCCTTGGTCATCTTAACCAGCCCCATGACTGTGAAATATGTTCCTATTTCTCTCAAGTCTATATTTTAAACCCAGAATTATCTCCCAGACTCTCCACTTCTTACTCAACTGGATGCTTAAAAGGTACCTCAAACGTAACATAGCCATGACCTCATCTTTGTTAAACAAAACTTGCTCACCTTTGTTAAACAAAATCTAGGAGGCTATTTTTTTGGACTAAATTCCTATACTGGCCCCAGAAGACCAGACCAAAAATCAAAATGGAATCACCCACACTCATCAAACTAAAACTGAGTTGTCATCTGGCCTTTTGGGAAATCAGGAGAGACAGAGAATCGCCTAGTTGCCCAAAGAGGCCAATTTTCATCTTCTGTACCAATAACTTAAGTGCTGTTTCAATCTTTACAACAAAGAATGACCTGAAGTCAGCTGATGTTAACTTCCATTATCTTTCTATTGTTCTGGCTTATAAGGAAAGTAACTTTGAAATGACCAATCCGATTTTTGTTCTTTGTGTTTGCTTCTTCAGTTCTTTTTGTTTATAAAGCCAGCCTCCTCCGCTTCACTCATTGGAACGCTTACTGTATTTTATGAAACAAAGTGTTGCCCGATTCTAGATGTGCAAATAAAAACACTTGAGATCTTTAGATTTGTTGTAATTTTAACATCTTCAGCCTCCCCATGATGGTGCTTGGGCTGATGGAAGCATGATCCTTAGTTTGCTTGAGTGAAAAACACTGGAGCCACCCATTCTAGATCCCCATTTTCCTTCATACCCTAAATCCAAATTTCGTTATATTTTCCTTCAAAATACACCCAGTATATGCACACTTCTCACCACCCACACTGTTCCCATCCTGGGCAGTGCTACTCCATAAGAGCCTGCATTTCCAAAACATCTGACTAACTGGTTTCCCTGCTTTGAGAATTGTCTACGTACTGCCTCTTCTCAGCATAACCATTAAGGTGATTTTTACAAAGTACAAGTCAGAAAATGTCACTGCTCTGCTCTGACTCTTTGAGTGGGTCCCATTTAGAATAAGCACTGCAATCCTATCACGGCTTACAAGCCCCTACATGAGATGACTCTCCCTACTGTTCCTTCCCTTGCTCTCTCTACCTGCTCTCTCTGCCTAGAACAGTCTTCCTTAATGTCTAACTCCCTTACTTTTTTTGAGTCTTTGCTCAAGTATCACTTTCTATTAAGTTGGTATGAAAGTAATTGCATTTTTTGCCATTGAAAGTAATGGCAAAAACTGCAATTAAATATAAGGGAGCTACTCTCACCTCTCTCAAGTAGCAACATGCTATCCTCAACCTTACCCTCATACTCCACCTCCAGTACTTAACTCAGCTCCATTTTCCCTCTAGGAAATATGTCAGGAAGCATCAAGTGCTAATACCATATACTTTACCTGTTTATTATTTATTTGCTTATTTATTTATTTTTGAGACAGGGTCTCGTTCTGTCACCCAGGCTGGAGTGCAGTGGCACAATTACAGCTCAAAGCAGCATTGCCTTCCTGAGCTCAAGCAATTCTCCTGCCTCAGCCTCCTGAGTATCTGGGTCTACAGGCATGCACCATCATGCCCTGCTAATTTTTAAATGGGTAGTAGAGACAGGTTCTCACTATATTGCCCAGGCTGCTCCCAAACTCCTGAGCTCAAGTGATCCTCCCACCTTGGTCTTCCAAAGTGCTGGGATTACAGGCAGGAGCCACTGTGCCCAGCCCTGTTTATTATTTTCATTTATTTAGTCTCTTGGCCCCTGCTTTGCAGGGTCTTTGTTTGTTTAGTAATATTTCCTGAACTTGTATTACAAAGGCACAATATAATGGCTCAAAAAATATTTGTTGCATGACTGTAAAGGAAATCTGTTAGATCTTGACCTGAGAGTGGTATTTGATTAGAAATGGGAGGAACGCTTGCAGGTTGGCAGAGAGAATGTTTGGCAAATACTCATGTATATGTTTTGAGGACTGGTGCTGTGAGCAGCACGGAAACACCTATATCTTTCACAATTCTTCTTACAGACTACCCCATACATTGTCCCTTCATGTGAAATGTGACATTTTGAGCCTGAACATCAAGACCCATTTTGCTTTCATTTCCTCTAATGCATTTCTAGCTTCCTCTACTTGGGGAAAATTTTCTAACCCGGATATTGCTTCACTGTGGAATTTATGTGAGCTTTATGATGGGAGCGTGAAAGTCATTCACTACACACATTTTCTCTTTTGAAAAAAGAAGTAGCTGGATATCATGGAGCGTAAGAGGCCTTAAAGTGACATCCATAAATTCAAATGCTTAGAAGGGTGTGCTGTTAATATAAATGCACAAAGCAGGTCATATATAAGATAATAGCCATGAAGCTGCTCCAACACCCTCTACTTACTATCCTTAAACCCCCAAGAAAGCATATTAAAGTAAAAAAAATTTTTGGTGGTTTTCCATCTTTTCCCTAAATTGTAGTCATCAAGCATTTCAGGGAATCTGTCAATCCAATATTGTTATTAACAGTTTCCATTACATGGATTATGGATATTAAGTACTTTTGTTGTAAGGAACATCAGTCTGGCAGAGGAATTTAAGTGAAGAAAAACCAAATTGTACTAAACATATTCAGATATTATTTGTGATAAAAGAGAATCACGTAAAGCAATTTTCTACAAGAAGAAAGGAAATATCTAGTCCCTTTTGTCTTAAGGATTTATGCTTGCCATTGTCTGGATATTCTTCTTGACATGACATTTCATTTTATTCCAATCTGCCACTGGCTTTTTCCTTTACCGACTATTCTATTAAATCCTGGATAAAGAACCCATGTATAGCAACCCATACAGTGCTGAGATTTCTGAAAAATACCGTCTTAGAACATTTAAGCAAGAGCAGGCTTGAATAAAAGTTTCCTAAACACCCAGCCAAAAATTCTGAGGGATGAGAGAAAATTTCATTTTTTTTTTTAATTAAAGGAGGCTATTTAGCATAGTAGTTTAAAGCACATTTACTCTGGATTCAGACTAACATTGTTTGAAATTTTTATTCTACACTATTTTGTGATCTTCGAGAAGTTACTTGGCTTCTTTGCAGAGCTAAGTTCCATTTCCTCATCTGAAATAATGATGATACTACCTAATCGAAGAGGTTATGTAAAATGCCTAGCACATCACAGGCAGTCAGTAAAAATACGGTGATGAGGTGGTAGTGATTGTGATAGCGGAGGAGTTGGTGGTTCTTGAGAAAGCTTTACAACTTTTAAAAACAGTGGAAATTTTCTTCAAAGAAACGCTTAAGGGGAAACCCAACATAAAACAGATAAGTAAGGTTCTAGGGGTGTGAGCAAGCCAGCTTGGCCAGCTCTTCTCTCTGCCAGCTGCCCACTTTTGTAGACCCAGAAGTCTCCCATGGAACCCTCAGCACTCAACCAAGCATAGAAATGGCAAGATAATCTTTTGCTTACTTTAGGTCAAATGGAGGTTTAATGTTTCTGGGAGGTAGGCTTGGGGCTGGTGGTTGTGTTGGGTGAGATGCTGGCAATGGTGGTTGGCTGGCCGGATGGGCTGGTGGAGGTGGTGGCGGGGAAGTTGTTGAATAAGGCGTCTGGTTTCTGCTAGTGCCTAAGAAGCAAAGCAAACAATACCATGAATTAAGAAAAATTCTTCAAAAACAAGATTATTGATTGCAACCATAGTTGGCTACAAAATCAAGAATTTGGCAAAAATTAACAATTGGCTGTATGAAATTTTCAATAAAGAATATGTTAATTTTATTATTATTACCATATTGTATGCTATATATCTTTTCTGAGACAGAGTCTTTCTCTCTTATGCAGGCTGGAGTGCAGTGGGTCCATCATAGTTAACTGTAGCCTCAAACTCCTGGGGTTTCAGGATTTTTCTGTTTCAGCTGACCGAGTAGCTGGGATGCATGCACCATAACATGCATATACATTTTTTAAAAAATGTTATACTTTCTGTAGAGATGAGGTCTTGCTATGTTGCCCAGGCTGGTTTTGAACTCCTGGGTGCAAGCAATCCTCCTGCCGTGACTTCCCCAAATGTTGGGATTACAGATATGAGCCACTATGCCCAGGCTTATTCATCCTTTATATCAATAAAAGTATATTACATGTATGTATACGTGCATAACACACATACACACACAGACACACAGAGCTTTTCCTGGTTGTTAAACATTTATCAGCATACATTCCTAGGTTCTATCTGCTAAACAGTGACTAGAATCACTTGTCTCTGTATCTTCCCTTTTTGCTTTGATCCTCTTCCTCTCAGTCATTCCTCCATTTGATTTTTGATGTCATACATTGGGTTTTGGAATTACGCAGGTTGCCTTGTTTCCCTAAAAATGGAATTTAAATTTCCTTCTCATTTTGGGGTGATTTTCTGAGAGGAAAAGAGGATAATGTCTTGACAAACATTTTGTTTTAATTTTACCTGCCTTTGAGCACGAATGAGATAATTTTTTTCATGTTTATAACCATTTTCCTTTTAATAGTATTACCTATTCAAATACTTTGCCTATTTCAAAAATAGCATTTTCCTTTTCTTATTGGTTTCTAAAATCTTTTTATTAAGGATATTAATCTTTTTGTTTCTTAACTGGACCAACTGGATGTAAGTAGGCTGCTTTGAATCCTGCTTTTGCCTGTCCATACATTAAAAAATATACCATAACAAACAAACCTCTCTATAAAAACTTCAAAAAAAATACTGCACTTCACTATAAATTTCCTTACAAGGGTAATACCAAGGTTTTACATAGCATATGCCGTAAACAAATTCCTAATTTCTTTTTAGATATTTCTCCCCTTGCCAAACCTCTTCACTTAAGTAATTGCTGACAGTATTGTCTTCTCTCTTCATTCTCTGACCTCACCGCGGTGTTCCTCTTCTTCCTGAAGTTTTAAAGACTGCTCAGGCCCTGCGCCGCAGACTCAAGGCCCTCTCAGCCAGATACAGCTCCCATAAGAATAGTTCCTCTTTTGCAGCTATTTTCAGAGGTGGAGGTAGACAAAATTAGTTCCCCTATAAATTTTATGAATAAAAAATTCCAACTCAAGATATTTACGTTAGAAATATTGAGTCCAGTTTGTTTTGTCCTAACCAAAATCAAAATTTTTTGATATATCAGACTTTTCCTCTAATACAATTAGTCAATCCTTTCATGTATAATTTCTGTCACTATCTTATCTTTAGGAAGGCCTTCCTTAATTTGAGAACAGATAATCATAAACAGTATATTTTCTCCTACTTTGCTGTGGCTTCATTTTTTTTCCATTTAACTCTTTAAAACTATTAGTAATTTATTGTGGAGTTTGTTGTGAGATAGAGGTCTAATTGTATAATTCTTGTTGTTCCTAAATCATTTAGCAAATGTTCTTCACCATTTGTCTGATAAGCTATTACTTACCAATTTGACATGCCTCTTTCATCATAGAATAAACTTGAACAATTCCAGTGAATGTGACAGATGAAAATGGTACCCAGTCATTTTAATTCATAAATAATGTGGTTCAGTAGACTCATAAATGATTTAAAAACTCTACCGAAAGAGAATATACCTGTGTGAGTAGATATTAATAAACTGTCCAAATAGAGAGAGAAATATTTATTAGCCATCTGTGACTTACCCTTTCATGGAAAGGATTTTGACAGGCATGAGGCATTACCCTGGGAGAATGATTTAAGGCCAACAAGTGAGAAGTTATTGAGATTGTTTGGGGAATGGTGAGTGTTTTGGATTTGAAGCACTGAAAACTGACTTCCCCCAAACCCAGGTCCCTTTCTGCCTTTACATAGGGTTATGAGACTTTCTGATGAGGCATCTGGGGCCTTGCGTGATTCTGCTTACTTGACATCTATTCTCCTTTCCTCAATTATAATAACTTAAGCATCACAGGAAGGGGTGTGCTTGCTTTTCTACTGAAGACTTGGAACCAGAAGGGGCTCCTCCCTGAGTTGCTGGCAGCGGTCGTGCCACTGCCAGGGCAGGGCTCGCCTGAAAGTACAGCAAAACCAGAGGAAAGCAGGGTGAGAGATGGAAAGGGGCTGGTTAGATTTTAAAGAAAAATTACTTTTGGAAAACAGTCAGAGATCATCTGAAAGACTTAATGAGGCACTAAACTAAATGTCTGAGTATCTCTTCCTCATCAAGCTTGGGAGAATATATGCTGAAGTCTTCCTATGTTACAGTAGTATGTGGCAGTGAAACTGCCTTGCAAAACGTGGTCACTTTCAAATACTGCAAGGAATACATTTGCATGTACACAAAATAATTCTAAGGAAAAACATCTTAGTTTTTCTGGAGGAAAAAACTAGTTAGACTTACTTTGATGTCTAACCATTAACTTTAGAGTCTAATGATTGACTCTAAAATCTCAATCTGGACTTTATAAAGTTTACTAAAATACAATTAGTAATATTAACATCCTCAAAAGTAAAAATATGTTTTTTGTTCTGATAGAAAGAAAGGGGATGGATAGAGTAAAATGAGTAAAGAAATAGAAACAATAAATCTATAAAAATATCTGGGAGTTTCTCACTCATAGGCGGGTGATGAACAATGAGAACACATGGACACAGGGAGGGGAGCACTACACACTGGGGTCTATTGGGGGGAATAGGGGAAGGACAGCGGCGGGGGGAGTTGTGGAGAGATAGCATGGGGAGAAATGCCAGATATAGGTGAAGGGGAGGAAGGCAGCAACTCACACTGCCATGTGTGTACCTATGCAACTATCTTGCATGTTCTTCACATATACCCCAAAACCTAAAATGCAATTTAAAAAAAATATCTGGGAGTAATGATATTAAATAATATTAAGTAATCATACAATTTTTGCCAGGCACCATACTAGGCATTCTACATATGTAATCATATTTATTCTGTATGCAGCCTTGTGGGGGTATATGTCATTATCTATTTTCCATTTGGTAGTTAATAAAACTACAAGTTCCGAGAATTAGTAAGCAGTAACGGTGGGGTCCAAACTTAGCCAGAATTTGAACTCAAGTCAATTCTTTATGATGTCTCTGCACTTTCTGCTATGCGCTACTGATTCTCAAGGTAATTAAATGAAAATTTAGTAAGTTAAAATAGACACATCAGCAAACTGTCCTACAATCAGGGTGTAAGTTCAGCTTTTTTGATTTGTATTTTTCCTCTTAGTGTGATTTTATGAGTGTTTCCAGTTTCCTGCAGGAAAGACCTGGCTCTAGAGACTGTAAGGCTCACATATTGGGATGTTCTGGATGCTAATTCAGATGCCTTAGAATTTGATTTTGGAAACCAGACAGCAGGGAAGGGAACATTCAAGCTAGCGGGAAAGAGGCTCTTCAAGATGAATGACTGATGCTAGCTGGCCGGAAAATAACACTCAAGAACTGAAATCAGAGAATTTTAAAATAGCATAAAAGGACTTAGAAGATATGAAATAAGGGGAAAGAACAACAAGTTTAGACTTCAGTTGGCATTAAGAATTAGAAATGTGCAATTTGAGAGCTAACACCTAAAACTCTGATCTACTTACGGCTCTCATCTCCCAAAGCTCAGGGGGATTGACTAGGTAATCTGTGATTTGAAGTACTGGAACTGAAAAGACCATCTTGCTAATAAGCCAAGTGGGAGCTTGAGTGACTAACGACACAATTAAGGAAAATTGACTGTATTTGTATTAGGGAACAGTTTATACCAGTTACAGAAAAATGGGGAGAATTGTGAAAAACGAGGAGAGAAATTGCAACATCTTCTAGAACACAGAAACAATTCTCAAAACCTAGGAAGTTAATAACCTCTGACTCAAACTTTTCATCTTTTTTAATTTTGGAAGTTTAGAAGAGATCTTGTTCAAGTCACGTGCCCGTGCTCAGGCAGGCCGGAATGAGTGGAGCACCGGGGCCCTTTTACCATGAGGAAATGACCAGGAGGGACCCTCCATGAGCCAGAGGGTGCCCAGTGGTTACCTGGCCCTGCCTTGAAGAATGGCTCCAGGTTCACGGAAATGCAGGCTAATCAAAATGGTGAGATTTTTGTCAGTATTTAAAATGCTATAAACAGAAAAGTGCATTTGAGGGCAATGGAAGAAGAAATCGGGAGAGAAGAGGTGGAAATGAATAGAGAGGACCCAACGAGGGTGGTGGTATACTCATGGGAAATGGAAATTGTATTACTTCACAAACTTTGCATTTTAGTTATTTCTGCTGGTCAAAAATAGTGGTTCTAGATATTTTTATAACAATCTGGTAACATAAAGATCTATGAAAACTCAGGATATCTACCCTATAGATTCTGATGTTTGTGACTTTTGACTAAGAAGGTCCCTAAAGACTTCACGTCTAGAGGTGTGTGAGGAACATGTGGAGATCTGGTTCTCAATTTCCTTTTAAATCCATGGATTCCTTTAAATATCCAAAGACATTACACCATATTGCTGCTTCTAAATGCCACAAAACCCTGACCTAGACTTGGCATTTCTATTCTGGCTTTCTTGGGCTATCTTAGAATTGGACCAGGCATTAGAAAACTTTGATTTTATCTCCAGCTCTATCACTTTGGCAAATCACTTAATCTCCATGTGATCTAGTTTCTCCATCTGTCA